CCTTTGCCACATTTATTTGAATTATTTATATAATTCCTACATAATGGGGAAGCTTCCCACTCTATGTTATGTAAATACAAGTCTTTGACAAGAAAATATGTGAATTGGCCAATATGTCAGTATGAGTGTAAAAAGAACCATCAAAGAATGTAATGAGTGTAATATAACTAAACCATGACTATTCCTGTGCTTTTTGCAGAATCATAGAAATGTTTCTCCTAACCGGCTCTGGGAGCCAGTGAGTGTTGGCCTCAGGCGAGAGGTCTGGTGTCAAACTGTCGAACAGCGACAATCTTAGCTGTCATCACAGCCTGAGCCTGAAGGTGACCACTGTCGCAGATATGAAATGTTAAGAACCAAGTGTGTTGAGAGTCTGATAGACTTGTCCTCCAGCTCAGAATTTTCCAAAAACCATTAAAAGTTCTGTGGAGTTTGGTTAACTGTTTTACCTGCAGGTCTTAAGTTGATTGACAGATTTAAAATGTTACATACTAAATGCTTTCATGGGCGGGATGTGGGATAAGGTTTAATTATGATTCTGTTTATGCTCATTTGTATTTGTATTACTCCTACCCTTTGGTTTGATTAAGCTATTGTCCTGTGTTTCTTATGTTATAATAGTTTTCCTGTCCTATTTTGAGTTTGTTTGTGGTCTATCGCTTAATTGCCATTGGTATAGGAGGTGGACACACTGACTTCCTTTTATTTAATCTTCCCGGTTCCCTCCATTCAATCCATTCTCACGAGTGCTTTAATTTAAACATCTGATTCATTTTTGTACCTGTTTGCCTGAAGTGAGTGTGTCACATATTACTTTAGCTCATCTCAAAACAACATGCTGCGTACTTTTTTTCTCCTGATCTTTTTGTGTGAGAGCACAGGTAAGCTCATTTCTTTTAATGAATTAAGGACCACGACTACAGAATGGCCCACAACAACAGCTGCTTTAACGACCTCCTTGGAAACGTCTACACCTAGAATGACCACAGAAGGTACAGTAAAATCCCAGATACCACTGCCTACAATGACTTCCTTGGAAACTTCTACTAGAATGACCACAGAGGGTAGGCCTTGTACAGTTATTCCAACCAAATACAATTATGGAAAGCAAGTTGAACAGCCACACTTATAGCTCCGTAACCCTAATGTCATTTACAGTACACATCCTCTTGGTTCTGGAAACGTTTTTGTGTTCCCATTTTAACCTTATCTTTAAACAATATGCTCAATGGTAGCCTACTGATGAGGTAAAAACAAAGCAGTCCCCTTAATTATGTAACAATTATATAGGATAGTGTCAAGGGCACCCATTCAAATTATGTTTTGTAGTCATGTGTGGCATGTACCTCGCCAGCCATTGCCGTAGGGGGAAAAAAGAGAGTCAAAAATGTGGATAGAAAGGATTTTTATTCTGAATTTAACATGAACAAACCCAGAATTGAATTGTGATTAAATTAAAGCTTTTTTTTTTCTCAACAGCATCATCTTTATAATCTTCTCACCCTCAAGTTGAACATGTAACATCAATTTAGTCTTAGTTTATGTCCACCGCCGCCACAAACTTTGCTGAAAACAGGCCTCTACTTTTTGTCGAATAACCAAAATACCAACAACAAAATAGCCATAAAATCATTTATTATCTTAAACTGAAGATTTAATATGACCTGTGTCATGCTTTACGAAGCAGTAGAAGAGCAACTTGTAAGTAACTTGACAATAACTGGAAAAATGTGTTTCCGGAGCATCAGTTAGCACGAAACACCAAGTACAGATGAGTCTCATTGGAATGTCTTTGATTTTGCAGTTTCTTGGTCATAAAGCAAACATTTGGGCGGTTATTTTACCCTCATTGTGGCGATACATGAAAGGTTTTTTATGTATCGATAGTTTTGCGTGTCCTTTTTTAAGTTTTTCTTTCTGCTTCCTTTGCAACATGTGTCTATTGTTTAAATGTAGTACCAAGATTTTAAATAACTACGGATAGGAGAAGTGCACACTGATAGCCTGTGTATCAGATCGGGGAGAGATATTCATCGTTTTTGCACAGTTGTTTTGTTGAATATATGTAAAAGGAACTTCTAACTTCCCTTTATTTCAGTTTCCTGGTCTTATACTTCCTCCATTCTCACCTGTTCTTCAATTATAACATTTGATTCATTCTTGTACCTGTTTGCCTGAACTGATTGTAGCATTTGCTTTTAGTTTATCTCAAAACAGCATGCTGCGTACCTTTTTTCTCCTGTTCTTTTTGTGTGAAGGTAAGCCCATTCCTATTAAGGAATGTAATAATAGAATACAGGGTATAGGTTTCAAATATAATGTCAGCAGTTTTTTGTGCTTCTTTTTGTCTTTACAGCACAATCCACGACGACAGAATGGCCCGTAACAACAACTGCTATAACGACTTCCTTGGAAACGTCTACACCTAGAATGACCACAGAAGGTAGGCCTTGTATAGATATTCCAATCAAACACAATGTTTAAAGAAAGTTGAACAGCCACGCTAGGATTTACACTGCTCTACAGTATAGAGGAGTGTTTTGAGCTACATGCTAACATGCACATTATTAATAACTGAAAACGTCTTCTACTTCTGGATATGTTTTTTATCCATTCTGTATTCCCATGTATTTTTTATTTTAAGTTCAATGGTAGCCTACTGAACACTGAAACAAAGTAGTGCCCGGAATTGTGCAACAATGATATAGGTTAATGTTGTGGCCACCAAAATGTATTATTTTGTCACTAAGATATTATGTTTCCTACTTAATTATAGCCATTGCCTATCATGAAAAGAAAAAACAGAAGTGTGGATCAAAATGATTGTGGATCCAAAAAGCTTTGTTATTACAGTTGAGAATATAACACAGTGCCAGAAAATGAAATTAATCAAATCTGCAGTTTTTGTCAAAAGCATAATCTTTAGCTTCCACTTCCCATTAACATGTAACTCCATTTTAAGCTATTTGGGAGTCTTAGTTCATGCTAACCAAATTTTTTTAAACACAGGCTTGTACTTTCAATCAAAGAACCAGATATTTTAAACAGACATTTTCTTATCTTTTGTACTTACTAATTAACAGGAAAATTGTGATCAAATCTGTAGAAAAGCTCCCACTGTAAGTCACTCAAAATCCTCTATTGGAAAAAGTAATAAGAAATGTACTTCCAGAATAAAGGGGGATATCTCACATTTGTTCATTAATACTAAACACAAAGTACATATGAGTGTGAGAAGGATCTCATTAATCCTGCATCTAGTCGGTCATAAAGGAAATTATTGGGCATCGATACGTTGACCTGATGATGGCACTACAGTATATAAAAGGTTATAGGATTGCCAAAAGTCATCAGGGTTCATCCTCTGGGGAACATGAATGTCTTTACAGAATTTCATAGCAATTCATCCAATATTTCTTTAGGTATTTTCTGTTTTTACCTCAGTGGTTAATGGACCGACCAACAAAAAGACATTGTAATGTCAATATATTCTGTCTGAAACAGTTTGATTTACTCGCTCCTTCATCCTTTCATCATCCATCATTCTGTGTTAAACTCACTTGTATTCCTCTCCAGGACAGCTTCCTCCTCTGCAGCTGGTGGCCACACCAGACTACCCAGTCACAGAAGGTCGTACAGTTCACCTGTACTGTGGCCCTTCCACCATACCAGACTCTGTCAATTGGTCCTGGAAACATCGGAAAACAGAAGTGGGAAAGTCAAGGGATCTGACACTTACCAGGCCAGAGCAGAGTGGGACTTACCAATGCTTTGCCAACAACACAGTATCTGGCAGAATGAGCTCATTGCACACCGTCTCTATAACCTCCACTCATACAACAGGTTGGTGATCTGTTTTGACTCTACCTTTCAGCTCTAAAAGCCTAAATGCATCATTCAGCTCATTGGCTGATTTGGTTTACGCTCACATACTCATAGCTGTTTCTGGCCACAGTGGGCATCTGTGCCAGCAACAAGACGTTGTTATCCGCTAACATTTAGCAACTAGTTGGTGAATATGGATGAGCATTTAGAAGCTACAAAACTACATACAAAGATAAGTGTTAACATTGAGACATAGTTGTACAGGAGCAGGATTCCAAATAAAGGCTATGCTGTTTTGTATTTCCTGGATGTGTATAGGTGACTGGTTTGTAAAAGGATCTCAAAAATATCAAATTTCAGTTTTACATTTACATTTCTTGTTCCTATGCGACCATGCATATTTGAATCAGAAACAAGAAAAGTTTTCATGCAAAGAGAAAGAAAGTTTTGTTGTCTTTTTAACTGATAATCATAATTTGCTGTTTTCTTTAATCAAAGCCTTTCTCCCACATTTCTGTTTCCCCAACCTACAACAGTTGCTGAGAAGTTAGGAATTGCTGCCTTTGTCTTCTTTCTCCTGGCCTTGATCGTCCTCTTTGGTATACTTTTTTGGCTCGGATTTCAAAGACTTGTTGCCACAAAGACCACCTCAAACACTGCAGCTAAAGGTAAAAAAACGTAAAGCATTTCCTGCTGGGTCATATTTTAAGCTGATGGTCTGTGGATGATTTTATGTTCTTGGTTTCTTTAAAGCTTTCCCTGGAACGGATAATTCTCCAAAGTAAGTTACCACAGTTTGCAATTTGTTCACATGTACAGCTGACTCAGAAGACTGTATTTATTAAAGTCTGATCACGTTTCTACCCCCCAGGGGAGGTTTTCCACCAGCTGAAAGCGGCGGAGATGTGTACATGAATTACACCAGCAATGACTACAGTAATCTGGACCTCACCAATGTGACTGGGAATGATTACTCCAGTCTTTCATGATCATTCATTGGAAGGTGGAGATATACACAATGGAACAGGATATTTGCAAATAAAACTCAGCAAAACCTTCAACCTGAATTATGAAGTTTGCCATAAATGTTTGATTTAATGTTTTTAGACAAAAATAATTTGCCCCAATCTGAATTCGGGCTTGGTTAAAATATTCCCAGATCAACAAGAAAGCTCTTGTTTGCTCTGTATTTAGCAGATTTCAATAAAACCTTTAATTTGTATGTGTCTCAAACTGCATGTACTGTTGTTTTTTTAATGTGTTGTGTATCAAAACTGATAGATATTGATATGACAGACACTGAGTTTCTAATTTTTTTTAATCCCTTGTGATACAGAAAATATGTTACACAAATAATATTTTCTTTATTGAGTAAAAAACAGCATATTTTCCTTTTAGGAAGCTCAAAACAGCATTGAAAACACTTTATAGTACCACACTAGATAATCAAAGCTGTTCCTCTGAAAAATATGCTTTACAAATCTGGTTAGCAACAGCAGGTTAGCATACACTACATACAAAATAAAATACACAATAGAACAAAAGATCAGTGAAAAATAATAGCCATTGGGTTTCTTTGTCACAGTGAATCAAAGGTTTTTACATATTATGTCACAATATTGAATTCCAGAGGGGAAATGTAGCTCAAGCTTTACTTATGTTCCCTTATTTCACAATCAAGGATTTCACTTGTCTATGAACAGTTTAAGAAAAAGAAAAGAAAACTGTAAACTGCGTGTTTATCTGCGAAAACAACATGACATTTTACTGACATTATGCTAATCATATACACACTGGTGTCAAGATGGTCAATTGCACTTCAACATGTTGACTGTAGGTGAAAGGAATCAACCTTTATCTCCTAAGCCACAGTGGGATTCATTCTTGGCTTCTTTACTGGTTTTAGAACAGATCAACAACTTGTTGTTGGAGGATTTAAAAACATGTCTGGTGCTACATCAGTTAATTTCACAGACTAAAGAGATAAAGTGCCCTCCTGCAGATTCTCAGGGTCATTATTGATTGGAATGTAAAGTGGGGCAAAAAAGTATTTAGTCAGCCACCAATTGTGCAAGTTCTCCCACTTAAAAAGATGAGAGGCCTGTAATTTTCATCCTAGGTATACCTCAACTATGAGAGACAAAATGAGAAAAAAAAATCCAGAAAATCACATTGTCTGATTTTTAAAGAATTTATTTGCAAANAAGGGGAAGAGAGAATGAAATGAAGAAGTGATCGGATGTGTATACCTCAACTATGAAAGACAAAATGAAAAAAGAAAATCCAGAAAATCACATTGCCTGATTTTTAAAGAATTTATTTGCAAATGGTGGAAAATAAGTCTTTGGTCAATAACAAAAGTTCATCTCAATACTTTGTTATATATATCTGTGAGAGCCAGAAATCTTGTTTGTTTGTAGGTGACCAAATACTTATTTTACCGAGGAATTTACCAATTAATTCATAAAAAATCCTACAATGTGATTTCCTGGATTCTTTCCCTCCATTCT